AGACAGTACTTCATGTATTAGTCATTCATGCACATCAATATGTATGGATACGTTTATTAATGATGCGTGGATGTAATACATGTGCTCAAGATATCGATGGATATACAGCTGCTCATTATGCTGTTGAACGTGATGATGTTGAAATGTTGAAAGCATTAACACTTCGTTTTCATTCTCAAGCTAAACCAATACCAGAAGAACGTATAACAGCAATACATCAACAATGTATAAATGCATTATCATTAAAAAATAAACAAGGTTTAACTGTATTCATGTTAGCTTGCTATCATGGATCATTAAAATGTTTAAATTATTTAATTGATCTTCATATAAATGATAGTAATTTAGAAGTAAATTAATTTTTTTTTCTCTTATTCATACATTACAATTTATTTATTTTTGTCTTATCAGGATAAATTTGGTGACACTTGTTTACATTATGCAGTTGCACTTCGTAATCAAATTCTTGTAGAAAAATTAATTAATACATGTCAAGCTAATGTTAATGGTGGTAATCCAACCAGACCAAGTATACTTGATGTATTACAATATAATCGTGAACAACGAAAAATAGATGATCGTATAAAAGATGATCAAATTGAACAAATAATTTTATCACATGATGCAAAAAATCGTTGTACTATTCGACGTATTACTAGTAAAAGAAAAGGATCTGTTGATAATGATGAAGCAATTATAGCAAATTTAGCTTGTATTTCACTTGATTTAACAACTAATGGACAAATTGAAACAGCTCGTAGTCATGCACGAATGGCTGCATCATTGCATGCTAAAGGTGATTTCGATGGTGCTCAAGAAAGTTATAAACAAGCAATGCACTATGCACCAGATAATACAATTGATTGGGCAACATATGCATTTCATGTTGCTGTTATACATATGGTTCATGGTGAACGACAATTAGCACTTGAATTATTACAAAAATCACTTCGTATTAGAAAACAAGTAGAAAACCAAAGTCAAGAAATTGATCAAATTCAACGAGCTATTGATAGCATTCAACAACAGACAACTTGAGTAATTTTTATTAATTAATATGCATATCAATATAGTTAAACCTCATATGTTCACTTGTAATTCAAAAGTATTTCCAATGAATTATGTTTGTTTTTTGGAAAAAAAACTTTGGATACAATGTCGATTTAATATCAAAAGGGTCAATCGATGATATGGAAATAGAGAAAATTTATTTTCGACGTTGTATTCATTTGAATCACAAGCGGATGGATTGGGTTTAAAAACTGATAAATAAAGACATTCTTTATATGAATTCTTTCATGTCTCATGTATAATTCTGATCAGAAAATATCTATATATGTGTAGAAAGTTTTTTCTTTGTAAAATAACGCCATAAATTTTTTTTTTTATTGGTGGTTTGTATTAAAAAAAAGAAAATAAGTAATTGTCGATAAGTCAATTAATGACAAAATTATTAAATCTTACTGAGAAAAACAAAAGATTTTTTTTTAATATTTGTTCTAAAGAAGTGAATCTAGAATTTTCGTTAAATTTCTATCAACATATATAGAATTCAAAATAATAGAAAATTTGAAATTTGTTGAATCAACATATTATTCACATATAAAATAATAAGCAAAAATATACATGAGTTATATACGATGATTTTTCATGATAATTTTTAATGAAAAAAGTTTGCAAATATACATGATGATAAAAATAGAAGAAAGAAAAAACAGCAATTGAAATCAAAATATATCTACATTAGTTTACCTTCTCTACAAACAATGTATTTAGACAGTCATCATCAAAACGATATTATTGACAATTGATTTTTTTAATTCTTTCTATAATCTTATTTTCCTCTACATATATCAGTGTCTATAAGGAAGTACTTGTATATTTTGGTTCGTCAATACTTTTCTTTTGTATAAAAAACTATACGTTTATAGAGCATATTTTATCTATCAGGTGATTTTATGTCGTTGTTCTTTCGATGCAAGCTTTCTTTCAATTGCGCACTTTGTTTTTAATCAACAAAACAAACATTACTCAAAACATAAATTCTATGGTTTTGTAACTGTTGTTATAGTGATCAATAGAAGCTCAATGATTACATATTTTCATAAGCAATCAAAAAAGAAACTTCCTCACAATCATTGACATATATTGACCTGATATTTATCGGACTGACATTTGTCATGCGCTATCGTGTGTGAATAATTTCTTTCAGAACATAAAACCATCATATTTTGTTGCCAACGTGAATATTAGTTATTTTTATCTTCAATAAATCGATATATCAAATATTTACATCAATATTTTATATAATGACATAGGGTAGTATTACGACGAAAAGACGAGGGGCTAGCCCTCTACCATTATTGACAGCATATCTGCAAAAATTTTCACATTGTTGTCTAATTACTCTCTGATAAATTTTACAAGAGATCTGTTTCTCAGCCACTTTCTTTTAGATACATTATGTCTGACTATTTGCAAAATTTTCTTTAGCACCTTCTACTTCTTCATATTATTTACAGTCATATGCATACACTACACTTGTGACATAACCAATATAATTACACCTACAAAGAGAAAGTAATAGTGACGTAAGACATGAAAATAATACTGTAAGAAATATACCGAACAAGAAGAAACAAATAAAAATAGTCAACAAACTACCTATATTCCCTTGACTGAAAGGATAGAAACTAGAAATGAGAGTTCACCAATGACTGTGTCTGTCTGTTTGCCTGTAGCATAGTTAGCATATAGTAAGTATTGTGGGAATAACCACATAGGATGACACAAGAAAAAAAATCTCAAAACATTAAGATTCAAAATAATTGAAGGGTTATATCCCATGACAAAGAATTCAACAACCCGTACATACTGGGTATTTCACCATATACGACTGTATTTTGGTTTGCCGCATGACTCAATACCACTAGCGTATTATTGCATCATGAAACACGTCAATATATGCAGATTTATGGTCGTTTACGAGCGAGCTTATTCGACTTAGAATGCTTTTAGAAATAATGATTATTGTTATTAAGTTATTGAATAGTTCGATCATTTGTGCCAGGAAGTGCACATAGAGATTTAACGCAAATATTATCAAGAGTTTGAGAGTGAGTCTGAATATAAGATTATAATAAATTAAAATCACATTATTTAAATAATGTAATATTAATTTTTTGTTCTGCAATGGAAATAACGCTAATATAACTGATTGTATTGATTTCTATGTCATCTTTATTAGTCAATATACAGTGGATATTCAAATTATTCAACGTAATTTGCTTTTATTTTTTTCGTTATTGTAAGCGCTAGAAAGAATCCAGATGCTGGTTCTAATAGCGAAAATGGTTTCTTAAAAGAATATAAGGATATAAAAACTATTATGATGTTTCCAAAAAACCAGGGTTCCAGAAAATTAAAAGATTAGTATTTTAGCATCTAAAACAGATAAATATACATTTGTTTAGACGACATAGAACGATAGAGCAAACACTTCTCTAAAAAAAAGAAGACATTTACAAGTTCTTTCCGACGCTTTTTAGTTGAGATACGACAATCTTACAGAAATCCTTTAAATCGTAACTTATTCAATTTTCTCAAGAAAAATCATTTTTCGATCTTCGGTCCAATTGCAATTTTTCAGCCAAAAAACGTTGCAGAAAACTCGATGATGTCTTATTTTGTAAAGAATGGTTTGCTTTATCGTCGTATATAATCTAAACAAAACTATATTGACGTGTTCTAGGTGTTGAAAAACCAGAGTTTGAGTTTTCTGAAGTTCCTATCTTTGTGATTTTGATAATAATTTTTATTTCCTTATATTCTTTTTGAAAACCATTTGCTCCATCCTAACCAATACTTAGATTTTTCTCTAGTACTAATGCCAGCATAAATAAACTAAAAATACATCTTGTTGAATAACTTTAGTAGTCACTATATCTATAAAATAAGTTTTATTCGAAACATGGAAACAACACAGAATAATATGAATAATGGAAAACTAAATTGCTCTCAATTTTAAGCTTTGTATTTAAGATATTGAAAATTCAAACTTAAAACTTTAAAATAAATTTACTACTATATATGACAGAATTATCACAGCTCAAATTTCAGAATTCGATATATGAAAAGAATTTATGATTCACTGTACTTAATTATTATTTTATTTGAAAATAAAATTTCAAGGACAATATGAGAAAACAAAAGCAAATATAGTTACAAGCAATGCAATAATTTAAAAAAAATTGACGAGATTTCTGTAGAATAAACAATAACATTGCATATATAAACTGAACATGATTAGACAAGTACTGTATATTTAACATTGGTATTTCTTTAAAAACATAAAGACCAAGTTTTATATTAGAAAAAAAAATTGGTTGCGTAAAAGCTAATCGTTATCATATGTCAAGCCATCTCTCTGTATTTTTCTATTACTTGATTTGAATAGTATGAATATCTTTATACATATATTTATGCCATCAATCTAGAACCTAATGACTCGAATTTTGATGGACGTTACAGGTTATTTAGAGAAGATTTAAAATAAATATATGATAATTTGTTTTTTATTTTTGCCATAGCAAGACACGAATAAAGATAAAAAAAAATATTGTATGGTGAAAATACTTCAGTTTTCGTACAAATGCTTGAATGAAATATGAAATAAAAATGATCTATATTAATTAATCAGAAATGCAATTGATCTTCGAAAAATTTTTATTGCAAATTTGTGAACACAAAAAATTTTTATCTTTCATTTTATTATTTTAAAAATATAAAAAATATAGTTAAATAAAATCATCAACTAAATTAATTGATCTATGAAAATTAAATGAATCGACAAAACAAATTTTCAAAAAAAAAAGTACATGAAATTTTGCTTGATCATTCACAGCTGATAAATACTCTCATCGTTTATTATTATTTTGTTTTTCTTCATCATCATGATATAAATTGAAGGTAAAATAAAGTCTGTAGAAGTACAAAGTAGAATGGGGATCAAGCTTATTGTTGTGTTATCAATATTGGGACAATGTGCTTTTGCAATTGACTATGATAAAGGTAGATATTTTGGTGTTTAAGACGATTGCTTGCATTTATAGCTATGTGTTGGTAACTTTCGTCATATATTATGTCGAGATAATCTGTGAGAAATAATGGAGAGATTATTATTTACGATATTCTTTATGATTTATATGGATAACAATAATAGATATCAATTGCATGAATAGATCAGTAATGTTCAGCCCGAAATTGTTCAGAGTGTTCATTGTGACGAATAACCTATCGATATGCAAAAATTACTTTCATCTGTACTCTCTCTCTCTCTCTCTGTTGCATTTATTGACCTAGGAGAGGAATCAAAGCTTATAGATCTAGCCGATTTTCCACGATTCTGTATTGGAAAGAGAGAAAAAATTTTTTCACTAAATTATTTAGTCCAAATCTACATGTTATTATTCATTCATATTTCTTGAAATTTGTGTACGCACTATTTAAGTATGGTTTTTTTAATCATTTTGTTGAACAATACTGGCTGAAAAATCGTTATATATATATTACTATGTGATAATATACTCTTCGAATTTTGAATATGTAATATCGATTGTTATTTTTATAATGGATTGTGTTGAATTCGAAATAGCTTTCAAAACAATAGTATTTGACTGAAATTTGAAATCATATTATAATAACTATAGGTTGAGGAGTATAAGAAAACATAGATCTTATATTATGATTAGGATAGGATATACTTAACCAGTTCATTCGAAATAAGTATGCAAATATTTACCAAAAAACTGTTCTAATAGGCACCTGTTTATTTCCCACTGCTTTGTTTCTCATTCGATTTCATGTTGTCTATTTAGACACCTGTGGACTTCGTCCATTAATAAATAAGGGTGATTCACCACCTAAAATTGTTGGCGGTGTAGAAGCAGAAAGAGGTGATTGGTAAGACATTAAAATTTTAAGTTTTATAAAATATTCATTTCTATCTTGTGTTTTGTTTTAAGGCCATGGGTGGTAAGTTGTTTAATCAAATATAAGAAAAAATATTTGATATATTTTCTACTTGAACTATAGATATCTATGCGACGTAATGGAAATCATATTTGTGGTGGATCACTTATAAATGATCAATGGATTATTACAGCTGCTCATTGTGTTTATGCGTAAAATCAAAAACAAAAATATCTTTTTGTTTTTTTATAAATTTCTATTCTATTTTTTTTTAATACAGAAATCAAAATCCAGGTGTCTATCAAATTGTTCTTGGTCTTCATGATAGATTGATTGCAGACAATTGGGTTATTTCAAGAAAAGTTCAAAGTATTATAGTTCATCCACAATATTCAAGTCAAAGTCTTTCGAATGATATTGCTCTGATGAAATTAGTTGTAAGCATGTTTCTTTGTTGTGTTAATCTATACCTCCTTGTTGGAGTTTCTGAAGAACGACTCATTAAAATTTTTTTTAACTTTTCGGACAAAAGAATCTTGATGAGTAGAACAAAATTTGTCATAGATTCAAAACTTCTAGGTCATGTCTTCTATAACATATTAAGATTCAAGTAACCTCACTTTTTGATCTTCTGTATTCAAGATGCTACGTTTAATGGAGTTGAAAATCTTTTTACAGGTGCTTGTCTAGAATATTTGGAAAAATATATGTAAAACAGTAGTATATTTTATAGAAAACTTGACTTTGAGAAAAAAAATGCAAAATAACGTTGAATTTCGATTTTTTGCTAAATACTTATTGTTTTTCTCTTTCTATTGGAATTTCTATAGATTTTCGACCACTAAACATTCAAGGATATTGTTCTTACATTCAGAGAACACTTGTTTGTTTATCTGCAAGATGCCTGAAGTCAGAGAAAATCAATATATCGATCGAAAGACATCTGTTTTTTTTCACTTATACTACCCATTTTGAATCAATTAATCATATTTCGAATTAACGAGAGAAGTTGCTCGACTGATAATCTCCGTTTAATCTAATATTTACTCATAGTTTAGATAGACATCTTGAAAGGACTCTTACCAATAGGCCTTGCTCTTCTCAAATCATGACCATTTTACTGAACGTTCAGTCTATTGAAAGATACTATGAGAAAAATAGGAGCGTATAATTTTCGCCTGAAATCCATTTCAACAATATCTCTTATGATATAGTGAAAGTTTCAGCTTAAACGAATGTTTTCCTTTTCAGATAATACATATGCAAAAAACTTTACTTTTACAGAAGAGGTTCAGAAATAGTCCAGTTTTTATGGATACGATATCTTAAGAAGAAATCATTCATTTGAACTGAAATTTTCAGAATAAGATAAGAGCTATTACTAAGGAAAAGCTCAGGTCGAAACTCCTAGTTTTGATTTTTCCCATAATATGTTGTGATAGTCTGAAAGTTCAGTAAAATGATCAGAATTTGAGAAGAAAGACATTATGACGCGAATCCTTCTTAGATTTTTATCTCAATGCTGAGTAAAATATGAGCTCAAACAGAGATTATCAATCAAATGAGTGTTCTGGTAAGTCGAAAGATGTCTTACATGTCTCAACATACAACTTTAACCTGATCATTAGTTGAAAATACGACAACAACAAATAGATTAAACCTGTAGCAGAAATATTTTGAAATAAAAAGTAAAAACTCAAGTTTTTTTTTTGGAATTAGTAGCTCTTAAAAATCATTCTTTTCGAGATTATTTTGATTTTCACGTTTGCCATGAGCCAGAAAACTTATTTCTATATTAAAATTAAATCAACTTTCTAGGATAAAATTGATACATATACTGAATATTATATGCCTGTTTGTTTTCCACGCGCTAATCAAACATTTGCTGATCAAATAGGATATACAGTTGGTTGGGGAGCACCATTTCATGGTAAAAAAACAGTGATAATAGTTGATTTAAAGATGTATTAACCGATATTTTTTTTTCGAATTTTAGGTGGTAGTTTATTACGTTATTTATATGAAGTAACTTCATCAGTATTAACTGATAATGTATGTAAAGCACGTTATACATCAGGTATGATCAATCCAGCTACTCAAATATGTTCCGGTGGCAACAGTACAGGAGCTTGTCAAGTAAAATAAATTTTTTCTTTTAGTTTTTATACAATGTTGTTTTTTTTTTTCTTTTTTTAATTTCTAGGGTGATTCTGGTGGTCCATTTATTGTTTCTGATCCTCAACGTGATGGTCGATATGTTCTTGTTGGTTTAACATCATGGGGTATTGGATGTGGTGATGGTGGTGTTTATACACGTGTTTCAGCTTATAAATCATGGATCGAATCAAAAGTTGGTCCTACTTTGTCTTAAACATGAAAGAAATTTATTATATATATAAATAACTACATCGCAATATAAAAAAAGAATGATGAAAAAAATAATAAGTGAATAAATGTGACCTATCCATTCATTAAACCCGTAGTATGGTCAACATCCATTTGAGCTATACGATCACCTGTAGTAGTAATCGCTCTTTGTCGTTGACTTTGATCATTAGCAGCAAATTCTCGAACAAAAGGTGTTTTTGCAGTTCGATTTAAAATCTGAGTTGATGAATCTTGACGAAAATTAACTAATCCACAAACATGACCTAAATATAATTATCATAGACATCTGAATAAATAAGTTAATAAATAAATGAACGAAGATCTTACGCATAATTACACAACCTAAAATGATTGATATCCAAATAACAATTAATAAAACGATAATGAATAAAAATACTAAAAAAAAAAAAAACAAAATAAAAATTTGTAGAAGAATTTATGATTTCTTTTTTAAGAATTACTTCTTGGTGCATTTGCACTCGATTTCGATAATTGATTTTGATCTGTTCCAACTATTCTTTTTGATGGTATTGATCTATTCAATTGAATAAAATAGATAATAACAGTAGAAACAAAAAAAAAAAAGAATGAAACAAACTCAAATAAATTTGGATAATCATTATTTTGACATGTATGATCAGTTTCAATAAAATAATGTAATTGAATATTTTTATATTTATAAAAAATTAAAAATTTACAAAGCGCCTCTAAAATTGATTCACATTCAATAATTAAATAATCTCCTGGTTTTAAAAATATATCTGCTGATAAAATTTTCATATTAGTTTCACTATGATTTGATAATATAGATGAATCAACAATAGATTGAACTATTTTTCGACCAAACATACGATAACGTATAATATAAATACTCCACCGTGCATTATCAGTTTTTGAAAATAATGGTTGTATACCATATAATAAACGAGGATAATTTGATATACGACATGAAAAACCTTTTTAAAACTTCATATTTATTTATATCAAAATAGATTTTATACATACGTTTGCGTTGTTGTTTATTTCCAACAACTATTGTACCCATATAGAATCGTGGTCTGAATAAAAAAAAACAGAATTTTATACATTCGTGTCACAAAGGAAGTTTTTCAAATGAGCAATCGCTTGTCAAACCAGACTATGTATATTATACTGACTCAAAATGAGTTTTGAATACTCTGAAAAAAGTTCGTGCCATTAAGTTTCCTACTGCGAAAATATAACACTTTTATGAGAACTTTTTAAGTGAACATTTTGGTAACAGAAAATTGATTTTCGAATTTCGACTTGAAATTTTCCATAGAGACAAACCTCAGCGGAAGTCTACTGTGAACGTTTCAGATTTTTCAATTGTCTCTTTCTTGAAATAGAGAAACATCAAATTTGCTAGTTTATATTTTTCGAAGATTGTGTTATCCTTTCAGAAACTGGTAGTTCTTGTTCTATGTCCTATCTGTTTGTATTGCAAACAACAGGTGTTTGCCTTTCCTGGAGTTTTAAATCGTCCTTTCACAAGAGAAAACCTAGATAAAACGCTGATTGTATTTTAGGATATGAACAGCGACAAGATCTGAAACATTCAGAACAAAAAAATGTGTCAACAATATGATCAAAAACTTCTGAAAGTTTGCAATTATCGATTATATATATATCAAAGTCATCCCCAAATAATGATCATGAATACTTCTAATTAAGTTCATTTCTAAATATTTCCAGTTTAAAATATTAGAAGTTCAATTGATGAAAATTACAAGATCAAGAATTTTATGTTAGAATTTCTTCAAGTTCAAAGTATTGATTTACCTCTATCTATCTTTGTTAAATAAATAAAAACGAAAAAGACTTTAGTTTTAACAAATAAAGCTACAAACAAAGTTTATTTTCAGACATATCTTTTAATATGCGTTGTACTGATCAATATCGAAAAATCTAATTCTAATTTTTAACTAATAAAATTCGTACAATTCAATTAGTACTAATAATAAAAGAAAACGAAAAACATACATTACAGTTGAAATAGTAAGAATAACTCCTGATTGATCATTATTCAATTGTTGTTCTTTAAAATAAGTAACCGTAAATATAATTAATTTTGATTTATCGAATTGAAAACCATGACCTACTTTTCAAAATTAATTCAATTGTACAATAAATAAATTTATCCTTACCATCAGCTAGTTCATATGGAGTTAACGATGAATATGATGCCCATTGATAAATTAACATTAAATGACCATTTTTACAAATTGTTTCATCATTATACCTTTAAAAAAAAACTTATACAAGGTATTTCGTTTTTTTTTTTTTCTTAAAATATCTATACCAAATAGTATCGTATTGATACGTATAGGATGCTACATGGCAAAGATGAACAGTTATTTGTTGAATCTCTCCATTTAATGATTGAATAAATGGTTCTATTCTGACTAAAATATAAAATTAAAATACATGTGTACGAAATCTTTATATTTTATTATATTTCTTTAAATTAGATAACTCATTAATTTAGGTGAATATTCTATATAAAAATTACGAAGTGCATCCAATATACATATACATATGAATTAATTTCTATAAAATTTTGCTATTCTAAAAAAATAATCAATAGTTGCATTGATTTGACACTTAATTGAAAAACAATCATATCTTTTCTTCTTTTTTAACCATCGTTCCTCTGAATTAATTAATCGATTTTATGAAAGATTGAAACTTTGATTAGTACACTTATATAAACAAAAGAAAAATATCAGTGGTTTTCAAAAGTTTTCAGCTGAAAAATCTAAAAAAAATCAGGTCAACATTATTTTCGTGCACTTAAGAATCTAATTAAGAGACTATCGAGTATATGAAACACTTGATAAAAAATGTTTTTCTCTTTTTGTGTGTATTTAATGTAGCGATGTTTAAAACGAATAACTTCAAAATTTTAGTGTTTAATGCTCTTTCTTTCAATAGTTAGTCAACATCAACTTTTTACCATTATTATGTCCTTACGAGAATAAAATAGCCAAAACTATTCTGTCAAAGTTGTGTTTGTTATCATTTAAATAAATCACTCAAATTTTTTTATAAGTGATACTAAAAAATAGAGAAACTGACTTTTTCGATAAATCTAAAATGTCAATGTGATAACAATATATCTTCAGCTGGAATTTAAAATCCGAGAAGTCCAAGTTAAATTTTATATATGTTACACAAGTTTTTATTCTCTAAGAAAAAGTACCTTCAAAGCGAAATGCATAATGGTTTTTAACCTTTTTTTTGACATAAAAGAAAACATCTTGTTTTTAGCGCTTTTCATGACCATGACATAATTACAGATATATTCGAAATCAGTGTCAAGAACTACATTGAATCAAATACGTTTTAGAAATACTTTATATCCGATGAAAAACTGACTACTGAGAACCACAGGTGAATTTTTTTATCAGAAAAGAAAATTCTTTAAAATGTATTAGATTCAAAGTAGTTTTGACACTGATTCTGAATATCTAATTTGTTTTGCTTTATAATTGCGTCATAACAACAAAAACTGCTAAAAAAAAAATTTTTTTTTTTTCTATTGAAAAATCATTAAAAAAATGATGTAGGAGAGAAATGTGAGCTTTGTAAAGGTCTCAAGGTAACATTTATTTTTTGAATATTTGATTTACCATGTTCTACAGAATAAAATTTGTTTAACATATATAAAATTTAGCTTAGAATTCTCTGATTCACCTGATAGGAGTAAGTCATTATCAAATGAGCATTTTAGATTTGTCGAAAGATCTATTGTACATTCATATTGATCTTACAAAAACTTGAATCAGTCAAAATTGTATTAAATTGACATAGCTCATTTTGTTAAGTTTTCAATTCTTCATCTATCAGTATAATTTATAAAACAAAATTTGAAGGATTCATTTAAATGACAGTAAGCACATGTTTTACAGAGTATTTTCTGTTGTTTTATTCTCATAAGAATATGATATTGCTAAACAGTCAATATTGACTAACTTTTGAAAGGAAGAGGATTGAATGTTAACATTTTGAAGGTGGCCGTTCCAAACATTGATGTATTCAATGCAAAAAAAGAAAAGAAAAACAAAATATCGACGATCATACATACTCGATGGTCTTTATAGTTTCTCTTTTAAAAATCTGTATCCATATTCTCAAAATTGCTTAGACTTTCTAAAAAAAAATTTTTAAATTCATAATAATAGAAATAAATAACACATAAAAGAAGACCCATGATTCATCTTCTATATCGAAGAAAAGATTTATATTCAATTAAATAAAAAGTTTACCTATAGACCATTGATCATTGCTGTTAGGCAACGTATATTTTACATGTACTGTTTTCTAAACGAAAAAGAAAAAATAAAATATAAACCAATTAAACAATATATATCTATATATACATATGGTAGTTGTCTAAGAGATGTCGTATTTCCTGGGATTTTTATAGTAACATTAAATTTCGTTGATAGATCAGAGGTTGTTGCATAAGGAAAAGTAATAACGAATATGAAAAGACATAATAAAAATTGCATGTTAACGGCAATATATTTGACTTCACGTATTCAATTTTTCACCTTATAGAATTATATTTGTAATTAAGTAGCAATGCAATACGAGAAGGACGACAAGTAGAAATAAAAGAAAGAGAACGATGTTTAGTAAGAAATTTGCTTTTTTTTTCTTCTTCATTACCATAAATATTCATTAAAAAATTTTTTTTTCTCGAAAAAGATATACTTATACAGATTATAAAGCGTGACAGCTTCTTCATAAAAAACACATACCTACAGGTTTTACAAATGCATAATAATTTTTTTGTCAGGTAGAGTAAAACTGGTTTCAAATAGTAAAAAAAAAAAAAAAAAAAGCAATAAATTTTGTTTCATATAATAAAACGAACAAGAATAAGATTTCGGTGTATTAATGACACTTTACATGATGATTCTTGCCTTTAGAGTAATGAAATTTTAGATGTATAATTGAGTACTTTCATAGGTTGTGAATAACAAATGTTGGAGGTTATCAAAATAATTATTTATAGAGTTCTTGTCACTGACAATTTTGATAAATGCTTTTGTAAATCGATACATAAAAGTTAGTACAAAGATCAAAATACTAAATAACTTCTTTTCCTAGATCTATGATGTATCTCAATGTTTTTTTACTTCAACACTAAGATTTCTGTACGAATTTGTCAAAACTTCTAACGAATTAAACTATAACATCTGATAAACAAATAATTATTCTGATAACTTCAGATTTTTATAATTAACAATTTATGAAAGTAATAGATCATATGTCGAAAATTTTGAAAAATTTTCATTATTCTAAAGGTTTGAATTATTATCGATATTCAGGAATATTATTTTTATCCATTTTTATTGCTTTTTTATTACTTAAAATTCGTTTTGCGTACCTCTTAAAAAGAATGTTATCAAACATTCAATATATGACAAATATCTTCTTTACTAAAGCTTAAATATTATCATTCAAAGTTATTATAGCATAGTTCAGTTAATAATTAAACCAAGGATTTTTGACCTCATCATTAATACATATCACTAGGATTTAGTCGAATAGAATTGCATAAATACATACTTTTCAAGGAAATATTTCAAATATTCAATGTCATGATAATACAATCTCATAGCTATTTTATTCTGTAAATCCAGTCAACTACAACTTCTATTGTTATGTAACTCACAAACTTAATCATATGACTGTAAATATAGTCATTGTCTCAAATGTTCAACTTTATTCTAAAAGGTGTTATTCACAGATATAAAACTGTTTTTTTTTGGTATAATTTACATACATAAACTCTACACTAAAATTTCAAATAAGAAATTTCGATTTTATTTTTACAAGTGTCTTTTTTTAATTTTAAACAATGTGTTGCATGACATATTAGTCTTAAAATATTCTAAACAAGCATCGAAAATAGATAAGTGAAGATACACAAAAGATTATTATTCACACCGCACACCTACACTCAATTATTCAGTTATCAAATAAAAATATCTACATTTTTGGTAGTCATGCTTTTCTTTCGTTTATGTTAATTATATGTTCTGTCTTATGATATGGTAGATTATTCGAAACATTCTTACATTTTTTATTTTTTTTTTGCTTAATTAATATTAATAGATCTATACATTTCATATTCAAGGACATAATCAAGTAAAAGAGAAAAAAAAAAACAAAATATTTATTCTTTTTCTGTATCAGTCATAAATACTACATAGGTTAGTGTTTTTTTTTTGTCTTTATTCAAGTAGAAATAAACTAAAATAATTTGTTGTATGTATTGTTGTTGTTATTTTAAATTGCAGAATTAATGAATTTATTAGAAATATATATGTATATAAATAAAAGAATGTTATTTAATAAGAACCACGAGCTTGAAATATTTCATGTTTATCAATACATGCACGTTCAGTAAATTCATCAGCACATGCCATACGAAGTCGTTCAACTGTAGCTGGTGAATTTAATACAAAATATTCTGAATAACCTTGTTGTTCTCGATAAGCTTTACAAGCATTTTTCAGTGCAAAAAATACTGCAGCACCAAGAAAAAGTGGTGGTTCACCAATAGCTTTTGATGAATAAATAGCTCGAGGATTCGGTGCATTAGAAAGAAGTTCAACACGCATATCAATTGGAACATCATTAAATGATGGAATTTTATATGTACCTGGTCCACGAGTAAATAAAGCACCTGCTTTTGTCCATGGATATTTTTTATGATCACCCCAAATAAGTTCTTCCATTGTAAATAAACCAACACCTTGTATAAAAGCACCTTCAATTTGACCAATATCAATTTGAGGATTAAGTGATGTACCAACATCCTACAAGAAAAGAAAAAATAAATAAATTGAATAATAATTTAATTCTTAAGAATATTTACCATAAGAATATCAGTACGTAACATATGCCAATCACCTGTTAATGTATCTAATTCAACTTCAACTGTTGCAGCACCTTGTGTAAAATAATTAAAATTTGCTCGATTGTTTGGAAAATCTCCACCTACTGGTTCTGGTGTTGCATAATAACCATGTGCACATAAATCAATACGTGAAAAATATGCTTTTTTAACCAAATTTTCCCATGAAAGATTGACATCATCATCAACAAGAAGTTTATTTAAACGTTCACGTATTTGTTCACATGCTATACGTATAGCCATACCATTTAAATCTGATGAAGCTGATGCTGCTGTTGGACTTGTATTAGCTACTTTATCTGTAGCTGTTTCACTTATACGTACACGATTAACATTACAACCTAAAACTTCAGCAGCTACGGATACCATTTTTGTATGAAGACCTTGACCCATTTCCGTACCTAAATTTAGAAAAAAAAATTTACATTTCACATATCTTCCTTATTTATTTGTATTGCATACCTCCATGGCTGATTAATACAGAACCATCTTTATATATATGAACTAAAGCACCTGCTTGATTAAGAAATTTAGCTGTAAATGAAATACCAAATTTTGTTGGAAGAATAGCTATACCACGTTTTCTATATTTATGTAATTTATTAAATTCTTCAATATTTTTTTGTCGTTGAATAAAATCACTTGATTCGGTAAGTTCATCCATTAATCGAGGTATATTCCATCGTTCTATTGGTTGACCAAAATGTGTTAAATCTCCTTCTTTATACATATTTAAACGACGAATAATAAGTGGATCCATTTTAAGATATGTAGCAACATGTTCAACAATTGTTTCACAACCAAAAAGACCTTGTGGACCACCAAAACCACGAAAAGCTATAAGAAGAAGATAAAGTTTATTAGCCAAGTCCATTTTGAATTAATATGTGGAACTCATATGTATTCTTTAGTCTCATTATACTAATACAAAATATGTAAAGTGAAAAATCTTTCTCACAGACTATAGTTGTTTGCTAAGGTTAATTGTTCGTCAATGAAACGCTCTGTCTTCTTTGATTCTGCATTTCGAACAGAAATGTCTTCTATTGCTTATTTGTTTTGTTCCTATTTGCTCATATTTGTATTCCGTTTTTCTTAATTTAACATCATTATTCTTATTTTTATTCGTAATTTAACTTGCAAATAAGCCTGTAGTACACACTCATTGTCCTGTCGTTAATGTCATTCAGTGCATTTTGCCCTCGACATCTAAGTTCTGTAATAGGAAGATCTACAAAAGTTCGACTTAAAACTTACATTCATTATTAGTTCCACAAATGAAATTATATAATGAATGTCAATAGAATCTTTCAATAAACAAACCTGTGTTTGATGGTAAATGTGTTTTACATAGACGTCCTCGTACTCGAATATTTGAAAATCGATATGTATTATCAATATGAAGAAGTGCTCGTTCTAAAACTGGCATTGAAAGATCATATGAACACCCAGCATTACTCCATAAATAAACGTCAAGTGCTGTAAATTGACCTTCATTTGTAAAACCAACTTTATATTTAATTTTAAATGGATGACGTTGTCCAGTAACAGACATATCAACATCACGTTCAATATTCATACGAACAGGACGACCAACTTTTACAGCAGCTGCTGCTACAGCAATGGTTGGAGTGATTCTATATATATATATATATATATATATACGTATAGATTAAAAATTAAAAGTCTATCACAAATTATTTAATTTAATTGACTTACGATCTTGATTCTTTACCACCAAATCCTCCACCCATACGTTTAACATGACATGTTATATGACTAACATCATAACCAAGTGCTAATGCAGTTAATTCTTGAGTTTTACTTGGATTTTGTGTTGATGAATATAATGTAAGTTCTTGATCATCATTAGATGGTATAGCCATACAGCAATTTGTTTCTAAATAGAAATGTTCTTGACCACCCATTAATATTGTTCCTTCAAGAATATGTTCAGCTTCAGAAAATGCTTTTTCAATATCACCTTGTCGAAGACATCGTTCATCATCTAAATAAGAATGATGTTCAATCGCATCATCAATTGTAAAAATTGTTGGTGTCAATAGTTCATATTCAATTTGTACAAGATGTCCAGCTGCATGTGATGCACGTTCAGTTTCACATAAAACAATACCAATAATAGAACCCACACATGGTGTTATTGCTGAGACAAATACTTCTTCATCATGTACAATATCACCTGTCATATTATCACCTTTAATATCAGTATGATTAACAAATGTAACGAAACCCGGTACTTTAGAAGCAGCACCAAGATCTAATTTCGAATTCGAAATAAGTATAGTTTATATCTTATAAATAAAAAGCAATTATTTGCTTACCAACACTCTTAATTCGAGCATTAGGTTGTGTTGCAAGAACAAATGCAGCATAAAGTGTATTAGGTAATGAAGGCATATCATCCGTATATTTTGCTTCACCTGTTGTTTGTAAATAAGCTGAACGATGAGGTAATGATGTACCAACGAATTTTTGTGAAACTGGTCGTTCAGGAATTATTTGTTGACCATGAGATACAGCTCGATGATAGGCATGAGCAGCTGAAAGTTCTTTCGGATCAAGAGATGATTGTTGTAATTCAGAACAAACATAAACATAAAATTTAAACAGAAATGATTGAACCAATGTTCGTCTAAGAATACAACAAAAGAAAAACATTATAATGAAACTTTTTTCTCTTTTATTATTTAACAATACCTATATTCTGGTTGACCACCAGGAGTAAGTTCATCTAATGGCATTTCTTTTAATGCTAGTTCACATGCTTTATTAATAATTGTTCTTGACCATGTTTGTCCGATTAATTCTTCTTGAGTATTTTTTGCTAGAATTGTTGTTGGTCCCATTCCACCAAAAGAAAAACGTGCAGAAACTATACGCCATTGTTGTTTATCTGTTGTATTCATAGGTTCAAGTTCAACATGAAGACCAGCACTAACAATACCAATATCATCATCACGACGACGTGCTTGTTTATATGAACGAAGAAATGTTTTATTTGTTGTTGATGTTGGTAATGGAATATGAACACTAACAAGTACTTCATCATCTGTCATTGCTACACGACGATAAGCGAGAAAAAAATCTCTTAATGGTACAAATCGAATTGAATTTGTTTCTGCACGATGTAATTCTAAAACAGCATTAGCAGCTTGAAGTACTGGATTAACATCCGAACTAAAAAAAAAACAATAAACAAGAAGAATTTTTTCTTGTTATTATGGATTTAAAAAAAAAAAATAAATATAAAAATCTTACATAGGTGAAGCATTAACAATATTTCCACCAAGTGAAGCAACATTTCGAATTTGTGTTGATGCAAAATATTTTAATTGATCAATAATAGCTTGACAAATTCCACCATCAACATTATGATCGTTCCATTCTTTAAGTTTAGCTTGTAAACATGTTAATGTAACACCAGCACCAAGAATTAATGCTGTTTGTGTACGTTTAAGTTGTTGAAGTTCTTCAATATGTGTTACAGATATAAAACGTGGATATTTTAAACGTTTAAATTTTGTTTCAATTTGTACTTCTGTATTACCAAAAACAAGTTTTGATGCACTACCAGGATAAGTAGCACGAAGATGAAGTAATTCATTAAGAGTTATAGGACGATACCATTCAACTAATGAACCTTTTCAAAAAAAGAAAAAGAAAAAAAAAGTAATTAAATAATTATGTAAAAAAATAATAAACCTTTAATATAAATTGATTGAGGAACATGTTGACGTAATTCTTGAGGAAATTCTACTTTTTTAATTTCTTTATCAGTATTTTTAACAAATGTAAGACATTTATCTAATGTTGTTGATATTGGTTTTGATATTGATGAATCTTTTGATGGTAATTTATGAATATCTTTTGCAAATGTTTTTGCAGCATCAAGAATAGGTCGATAACCAGTACAACGACAAAGATTTCCATCAAATGCATCTTCAATATCTTGCATTGTTAATGATGATGAATTCGAATCATTTGTTGATGTTACAGTTCCATATAATGACATAACAATACCAGGTGTACAAAAACCACACTGAGATCCAAACATGTCAGCAAGACGTGATTGAGTTGGATGAATATTTGATTTAGCAACTGAACCTAATCCTTCAATTGTTATTATATGACATCCATCAATAGAGCAAATTGGTGCAAGACAAGCATTAACTGTTCGATGTTCAAGTTCATCAGAATGTCGATTAAGACATTGGGATATAAGTACTGTACATGCACCACATCCACCTTCACCACAACCTAATTTTGATCCAGTTAAATTAAGTTCTATGTAGATATAAATGTGTTAAAAATATGCATCGATAAATAAAAATTCAATAGAATAATTCTTACTATTTCTAAGATACCAAAGAAGAGTCCAATCAGGTTCAACATGATGTTCAATTATTTTTTTTCCATTGACATAAAACAATAGATAATCTACTGTTGGATGTGTGGCTTGTTGAGAAATTTCTTTAACCATGTTTTGTTTTCGATAACTATATCAATATGCAGATCAGTTTATGTGCTCTTGTTTTTAAAGATAATGAAAATGAAAAAATAGAAAAACATGTATCAAACAACAAACAACATAAAAGTGATAAGAATTATGTCCTACGTTGTTTTATCATACGCGTGATATAGAAGAAAGCACTTTTGCGTTCTTTCAAATTTGGCCTTGATTTTTCTTTTCAAAATTAGAAAACAGAACATTCTGTTATAGATTAAAAACATGAATTAAACTTTTATGATATTTATAGTATTTTTTTTTCTTTCTTCAATCTATAAGTATTTTATTCTTCTATCTATTTCAGATATTTTTTGTTTTTTTTTTTCGATATAAATAAGACGTTCAAAAATTTCACCAACGGATTTGTTCATACATTACTTTATATATGAGTATGATGACTTCCATCGTGTCAAACCTATATATGTATAAATATTGAAATATATTTTAAAGACTTCTAAATATACTGAGAAAAACTCCGCAAAGTTGGACTTACAGTGAAAAGATGTGGATTGTAACTCAAGAACATTGAACATATTCCTATCAAATGAAAGATCTCATCAACAAACTACGAAACTTAAAATATCAGTTGCTTATAACGTGCACATGTTGGCATATTCAAATTTTTAGATATTTAAATTGTGTGGAATGTAGAACAAGTCAGGTTGGTGTTGGACCCAATCCTAAGAGTTACAGTCAACTATGACTTAAGATTAGCGTCAAGGTTGTCTGAGAAATGTGTGAAAGTTCGATAAAGCTCGCCGAGTCGCATGAGAAAATGAAATTTTATGAAGGTCAAAAATTTTGATATAGTTTTTTCTATATATAAAAAGGATAGTATCCTGGACTTTTCTCTTCAAAGGGCTTTTTTTTCTGTATTTGAAATATGCTCTAATGTGACTTGACGAGTTCTATCCAATCATGATAAAAAGAGAGAGAATGCATCTTGTTGCAACTTTGAATTATTGGCAGATAATATCTATTGTAAATACTTAGACATTCAAATATCTCAATCTGTGCACGTCACAAACAGCTATTATTTTAAATTTGTTAATTTTCCAGTAAGACCTTTGAGTTATAATCCACATTCATCCCATTATTATTTTTATATCTTGAAAAGCCAGTTGCTAGTCGATATTTACGAACGTAGCATGGCATCCACGAAAATAGTTTAGATAGAAATTGCGACCTTTTTGAACCACGTTGAACAAATACCCCAGTATGCTCACTTCTAATCCCAGTTGTTATTATTCTCAAATACAATGGTATGCTTATTTATTATCGTGATACTGCGTATTGTTGTTGTTACCGATTTCAAATATTTTGGTGTACTTACTGATAAACTTAGTACTGGATATGACAGCTGTTGTTGGTTTCAACTACCATGTTGTGCTTACTGATAAACGTGTTATTACGTATAATAGTAATTATTGTTTTCAAAATACTGCTATATCAGATATGGTAGATATTGCTAGCGTATCAATGAAGAACAAAGCGAAAATATCGTAATCTCGGCGTATCCCAAGAGCATGTCAGAACTTTTCTCGAGACCTTCTCAGCTTTTTCAAGTCAACTATGAACGTGCATTACGAGCATACCAGTTTAAGTTCATTCTATATAAATCTTTTTGACTCTAAAGTTTAAACACAACATCATACTTCACTGACACTCACATCTTGTTGTACGATCGAACATTTGCACTTTATTGTCAGACAGACTTATATGAAATGAACTCAAACTGATATGTGCGTGACACACGTTGGTAGTGACTTGAAATAACCAAGAAATTCTACGAGATAGCTTTAACATATCCTTGACGTACACTAGAGCACGAAATGTTTGCTCTATTTTCCTTGCCGAATGCTTTCACACTCAATAAGTCTAATTATGAGCGCAAGAGTGAGGTGTGAATGTGTAGGTATGGATATGACTCTTTTCTCCTGTCACACTCTAAATCCATGAGAAAGCTAACAGAAACAATACAAAAATGAATATAACACAAATAAACAGAAAAAAATGAAAAAAAAAAATATATAAATGGATTAGATCATTTAGATAATCTTTTATAGGAGTGGAAATATTTTCTGAAAATAACAATGCAACAACATCGAAGTTATTCGGCTGCACGATACTCTATATGCTGAAGTTTTCTAAGGAGATGATGACTTATGACACTTAAAAGAGCATTGTCAACTGAAACTACAAAAACAAGACTCATAAAAACGCGTTTTTTTATTGCAATGTTTGCATCATATAAATCGTAAATTTATTTGTTTCTTTGATATTGAAATGTTATCTTGAGTATGCTATAAAACTCTTTTACTACTCCTTGTAAAAAAAACTCTATAGATGTTTTCTATTTTCGTTTGAGTTCCCAATAAAAAATAAGACTCAAACATTTTCACGACATGGTTCGGATAGAGTGACTATAAACAAGCAAATACATTATTCTCCACACTTGCGATCATCAACTCTTTATATATCAACATTATCAGTTTAATCAAGACTGTGGGTATGGGTCTGGGTAGATGTGTAGATGCTAGTATTTGTATGGACTTTCGCTGAATGAACATCAACATCTACACCCACCCTCCGAACTCTGTTGTGGCAATGTTTGAGTCTTATTTTTTATTGGGAACTCAAACAAAAATAGAAAACGAACTACAGAGTTTTTTTTTGCAAGGAGTTGTAAAAGAGTTTTATAGCATACTCAAGATAACATTTCAATATCAAAGAAACAAATAAATTTATAGATTATATGATACAAATATTGCAATAAAGAAATGCATGTTTATAAGCCTTGTTTTTGTAGTTTCAGTTGACAATGTTCTTTTAAGTGTCATGAGTCATCATCCCTTTAGAACAATTCACTATGTTGGATATCCTGGAGCTCAATAATTTTGATCTTTTCACTTTGTTATTCTCAGAAAATAATTCAACCTTGTAAAAGATTATTTAAATGATCTAATCTATTAATGTATATGTTATATTCATCGTTGTATTGTTTCTGTTAGCTTTCTCATGGATTTAGGTGTAAATGGAGACAAGACTTATTTCCATACTTACGCATTCACATTCTAGACCTGCACATTTCATAGTTACAGTCGATGAGTATTCAACAAGAAACATACAACGAAAAGGCTGCGGGTAGAGGTGTGGATATTGGTGCTCATTCAGCAAAAGCTCATATCAACGCTCACACTCACACACCCATACCCTCAAGCCCTAGCCTATTTGAAAAAAAATGTATGAAATATCTATAGACATTCATGCTCCACGGTCCTATAAAAAGGAAGTGCTCATTCTTAGCCGCCTCACAGACTTCTCATTTCTTATAAAAATCAAGTGCTTTTTTTGTTTTGAATTCAAATAGACCAATTGTGCAAAAAAACTCCTAGCAAATCACATAATTGGTTGAATATATTGGCTAATGCATAATCACAGGAGAGAAAGAGTGAAATGAAATACTCTTAACTTTGATGCATAACTTATTTATTCATCCCATTTAAGCAAACTTAACAAATGCAAAAAGCTAAAGATTTCTGCAGCATCATAATAAACATTAACAATGAAGGCAAATAGGTTGTTTCATTTCAATCGATTTTATTCAGTCACCATAGTTTATTCATTTGCGAAGTAATTAAACGAATTGAGTTAGTTTTCCGTTATGTCACTATTAGACTTATTTTTTTACTTCTAAAAATGTTGAACTATAATAGATTTGATTCCACATTGTTTTTCTGCACCTTTTTGATTATATAATTTTTACAATTTTCAGTTCTTATTTATGCAGAATTGCAAATACAGTAATTTCAATAATTGTAAGCAAACTAGATCATTAAATCAATCAGTCACATATCATTATTATGATAAGAGTATTAGTAATGACACAAACAATGCTTCTCATTCAATTGATGATGAATTTCTTAGGAATATAGGAATTATCATAAACGAGAGAAAAAGTTCTCTACTGAATGAGCTTATAACGATACTTTTGAATAGTGTTTCCATTCTTCAAAAATGGAAAATCAAGCTATTCCACTATCTCAGTATCCATATAGTTAAGTATCAGTTATCAGATTAAAGATCCTGCATTTTAACAAATCTCAAAAGACAAATTCGTTAAAAGTGCATTGGTTTACTTTAAAAAAAATATGAAATAACAAGTTATTATTGAACGAAGGAAAACGTGTTCAAGAAAGTACGCACTAAAATATATTTTCTTAGCTGATCTTTCGACATTAATACGCTTTTGACTTTGAACGCAGTCTAACGCGCTGTTTTAGAAGTTTTGTCTGGGAGAATAATAAGGAAGAATACCCCTGACTTTCAGGCTACGTGGCAGTATAGGCGGCTGCCTAATGTCGAATTCAATAGTCCTATATCTTTCCTACAACTATGAAATAACTGTTGTTCTGGACAAAAAGGCTGGCCTGATGCAATGTTCTTGCACTTAAATGCTTGAGTTCCCTATACACTCTCACTAATCACATACTGACCACAAGTGCAGGTGTCTATTACAACGTAGTCAACATATTATCTGGCGAGCAACTCGAGACGAATAGTCATTAGTGAACTGTCAGAGGACATTCTGCAATTGGTGCTATTGAGGTTTACATGCATACAGTAGTTTGTGAATATATGTTGAACAATGTAGTCTTTCAGCCATAGAGAGTGGAATCTTGTCTGACTGGATATTGTCGATTATTTCTATTCTGTTATTAATGCATCCTACACATCATGAAGATGATGTTATAATAATCAAGTAATACGGTGGGTCTCGAACCTAGACTCGGAGCTTATCGGGCCCTGGATCAACCCCATGAACTCTAGACTAGAAACTTTTTGCATGCGGTACGTATATGACATTCTTAGCATTGACAGTATTCTTCAAATATTTTTATAGAATTATTTTATCCAAATTTAAAAAAAGTATAACAATATATAATAATTATTTAAAAACTTGAAGACGATCT